TAATAGCACTTCACTTATAATAAACGGTAGATAAAAGTTATGATAAATACGTTTCAGTACTAATGACACTTAAAACATACACTTAAGTTATATAATAAATATAAGCTAGTACCTCTAACTTAAGTATATAATTCCTAGACATTGATATTAAATAAGAAAAATATTTTCAATACAAAATAAACTTAATTTAATTTATAAAATTATATGATTTATGACCATTGATGCCTATTTTTAGCACTTATACAGTGCACAAAATGCACAGAAAAGACCTTGATAAGCACGTTATACGATATCCAAATTGCACTAAATAAGCACTTTAACTACTGAATATAATTTATTATATTTAAACATTGTTAAATTTGCACTAAAGTTTAGTGCACAAAACTACCATACCATGTGCCATACCATACCTATGTGTGTATGCTAAGGTACATTGGAGTACCATTACCACCGCAAACATACATGCGCGATTAAATAGTTATTTTGGCATATATATAAACCACCAAAACAAATATTTTTCAAACCAATCTCAAGTGGTATCTGAATAAATATAATTGTATCGTGCACAATTTACAAAGTTTTTGACAGTAACTATAAGCCATGACTGAATTAACCGCTAATAACTACAAAAAAGGTTTGCATTAAATCTACCGTAAATTAATAATTAATATTATGCTATGGGAAATGTGTTTATAACATAGCATGCTAGTTATTGTTTAAAAAAATTATTATAAATTAACTAGTTTATTGTTTAATGAATAGGTGACCCCTTCCCGCCCCGCACCGACCTAAACAAACCCCGTGTGTATAGCAACCAGATGTGTCCGTACGCCGAGAGAGCGCTGTTAGTATTGGCCGCCAAAGGCATTGAGTGAGTATTCAATCAATTAATACATTATTTATTTAGATTTCTTTTCACAACTTTATGACAAAACAAATTATTTCACAAGAATAACGAACTAATTATTTAATTGCTAAATCATCCAGAACAGATAATTTACGATAGACTAAACTATAATTAATCTAATAATAAAATAGTTGTATTTTTAGTTTAATAGTATGTAGGTGTTTATTATACTTATAATTAGATTATACATACAATACTAGTAAACCTTAAGTTTAAAAACTATTTTTTAACATTTGATAATAAGTTTTAACATGTTTTTGATTACTATTTCTCCAGACATGAGATAATAAACGTGAATCTGAGGGA